GATAAATTTTTTCTCGGAAATGGTTGAATTTAGGACCCATGTCATATAAGGTTTGTTTTTGTTTATTTTAATGTATTCTATCGACTGTTAAAATTAAGGCAGTCAATCTTCTAACGCCCTGTATAATAGTTACGATTGTATATCCTACACAAAATAGTAGATAAATATTATTATCATTATTATCTCCACCGAAAAGTGCACACAGGAAATCTGTACAAAAAGAAGTGAATGTGTAGTTAATGAATTGTTAAAAAAGTCTCTTCAGTATTATTTTGTACCTCTGGCAATGACTACTCTGACTACAATTTCGTATTCATCAATTATACAGGGTACGACAAAGTAGCTCAACGACCTATATATCTCTTCAAGCATATGAAGACTTATAGCAGATAGGTAACTCTTAAGTATCGGATTGGTGAGGTGTAAAATACCGCATACAAAGGCATAATAAAGAAGGACTTAATAAAGATGAGATAAGTAGCTTTGGTGACATGGTAGGTACAACTCCACTCTCTTTGACCGTAAGCAGTGAGTAGTTGTCGGCGTGTAATCAATGGTCGTAGTAATTAGACGATCCCCACTTGCTTTGTCGGTTTCGCCCCCCCTCACACCGGTGACAGTAGCGCACGGGATTAATGCAAATTTCATTCACTGAATTATTTCTAGACCACAGTAGATTTTTTTTTGTTTCAACAGTTATTTATTAATAGCTTAAATTACCCAAAGTATCATGGTCTTTCGGGATGTTATGCCGGACTTATGTATATACCTGGTCACCGCCAGTTACAGACTTATGTTGCACTTCCTTGGCCTAGCTAGTAATATTCGACCTGCCCTTGACGTTCTCGGTCTAGGCTCGATGGGTACGGACCCGCTGTCAGAACCGTTAGATCGTTCTGATGTAGATATTGTTATTGTTGCTGGTAGTAGGACCGTCGCGGATGGAAAAGGTTTTCAAACAATGGTAGTCCTTTGAAACATTACGTAGATAAAACCGCGGCGGTCGCATCCACTGCTTCCTGTTGGCATGGTCGGCATCATTAGATCCCATAGAGCCTAGACCGGGAACGTCAAAGATAGAATTCCTAATTAAGACAAAAGAAGTACAATATAAATCTCTAACTAGCGGCGACTAAGTACATAAGCCGCGGCATAAGAACTCGAAAACTCATGATACATTAAATATCAGCACGGGCCATGAAAGCATTAAAGCTGCTTGAAATATCAATATTTTCTGTATTTAATTGAGTATTTTCCGCAATGATGAGAAAGAGTAATTTAATTATTTACATATATTTTTATAAAATAAAATAAAAAATATCAGGGCCTTAATATTATAAACTAACAAAAGGCTTTTAGAAAGAGTTCAGCCAGATTGCATTTGCACAAGCAGAATTTGATTTTGTGCATTTCAGTTTGTTATAGTAAACAACCAATATAGAAACTGAGTATACAGGATGTCTTGTAAATATAGCCACAAGCCCTAGCTAACTCTGCCATATTTGGTTCGGCTTTGAGAAACAAAAAATTTGCTTTTAGGCTTCAAAAATTTCATATCTTTTCAAATCCTACGTTAACAGACTTATACATATTTTACATAATTTTTCAATCCACTGGATACACTTGTCTATTAAGTTTGTAATATTAATGTAATGTAACATAACCTACTTGCTGTCATGATACTAATATATATTCAATAAATGATATTTACTTCTGTGTCGATTTGATTCCTTTCATAGCACATTTAACAAATTCGTTGGTGCGCTCAACCGAGTATTTTGTATATTCTTTCTAAAATTTTTTGGTAAAAGCTAACTAAAAACTCAAGTTGTTAAATCGTTGGACAGAAAGTCCAGATAAAGTAAAAAAATATAAGTACATAATTCTATTAAAAAAATAATTGAGAGAGAAGGATCATACAATTATTTAAATATAAAGATGTTGGGTTATTCAATAATTTAATTATGTCAAAAATGTGTGTTTCAATTAATAATATTTAAATGTTACAATGTTACAAATGTTAAATGGTACAATGTTTAATTTTTATTTTAGATGGTTATTAATTACTAACTGTTCACTTAGATATTGCTGGCATAATTCAGTTTTGGTTAGGGCATGTAGTCCGTAGAGTAGTTGTTTTCCCCAATATCATCAGTTTAACTTCATTTGATAGAATTTTTAGGAGAAACATTTTGAATTAATTTGAGTGAGCCTTTCAAATAAAGCAAAAATACAAGAATTAATAGAAAATATATCTTATAAAAACGAAAACATATTGTGACATCACAGAAAATGTACTGTGATTATGTACTTTCTCATTGTCAGATGTTTTGGTTATAGGCAAAAATACAATGAATTTTCGATTCTTTCGACGCAAGGAACTGTTTTAACAGTGAATGGTACTGAACAGCATTAAGTTAGTAGGTTACATCTTACCCACACAGAAAATGTTATTCATGTAACATTTTTAACAGATTGATTTTATTTTTAATAAAGCGAGTACTAAATAATTTTACAAATAAATATTTACTGACAATAATAATTAATTCCTTTCCTACTTTTATTCTTTTCTAATAAATTTTTATCATAATAATACGAATAGTTTCATTTGAAACCATTACATTCTGACAGGTCTGGTGTATTATTGCCATATCTCAAATTCATCAGTATCATTCATATTTCGCAATTATTTCAATAACTAGCTTTAATGACGGGTTCTGCAATTCAAAACTAAAGATATGGTTGTTAATTAAACAAAAAACTTGTTTTTTTTTCAAGTTGCAAAAAACAGATGTGGCAAACCATATAAGTAATATTTTATTTTACTGAAAGATAATGTCATTGTTTGATTTACGAGTATTTAAAAAATAACCTGATGTTTGACACTTAGAGTGTGTCTAATTTGGAATATTTCGGAAAGACAAAAACAAATTGTAATCAAAAAGTTTCCATAAAAAAAAACTGAGCTTCTGTATATAGGGTGTATCTGAATAACACCGAATAAGTGTAAGTGTCGATTCTCTGATGAAAATTAGTAAGGGTCTTTTGTATAAAATTTTTTGAAAAGTTACGCCATTCCAAAAATTTCAAAAAAAAAATTGTTTTTCTTTTTTACTTTCCATATATATCAAGCTAAAGAAACCAAACTTGGTAAACATTAGCTGTCAAGAAAACTATACTTTTTGAAATTTTTTCAAACCTGAAGTATTTTTGTAACGGGTTGAAATAATCAATCTCTATGACAATTTTTCTTATAATTTTTTTTTCAATAATTTTTTTTTCCTTTTAAAAAATATGTCTAAAAAACCCTATCATTTACTAACTTTTTGATATCTAAGTTTTTCCGAAAAGTTAAGGATTTATGGGGGAAAGAAATAAATGTATTTCAATGCATTTTTAAAAAGATGATCTGTTTAACACGAAAATTATAAGAATTATTAAAGCTGCCGTCAAATTTGATTAAAATCGCGTCTTCCCTTCTATTGGATCAAAATAATATATATCTTTTTAGAAATTCTGTATCTCGAAAAAAAAACGTTTCTTGACACATTTTCATATAAACTTTTTTCATTAATTTGTGACATAGAATCCGCTATTAAAGTTTGGCCAAGTATTTTATTCACATCCCGTGTAATTACAAACACTGCCTCTTCCAAAAAATGTATATTTTTTAAAAATATATTTATTTCACTCTATGTTGGTGGACTATTTCAGCTACAATTTTCCTATTTAACTAAGAAACAAATTATTTCCATTCGTGATATCATTTTATTTTCTGTGAATAAATAACACTTCATTTTCATCATCATCATCGATCAAATTACTTATAACTAACCCATTAAACGAGGAACAGCTCCCCAAATTCAGTTTTTAATTACTTAATTAATTAATTATCTTTCGAATATGGTTATAAATATTTAAATTAGTATTAACTCCAAATACTAAAATAACAAAATGTATTTTCTTTACAAGAGATGTCAATAAAAGTAATGTATTGTGTTCTTCTTTTTAAGAAAATTCAGAGAAACTGAAAAATTAGATAAATAAGATGTTTAAACAATAAACGCAAATAACAATATTTTTCACTTTTCGAAAATCAATAAGTTTTTGTTATCAAAACAGATGTTTGTGTCCAATGGTTTATATTTTGTTTATGATTTAATTAATTAACTTCAGGATATAGTTATAAATATTTAATTAGTCCTATTGCGAAATATAAAAATAGCAAAATTCTTTCATTTTCGTGTACAAAATGGAGAAAAGAGAAAGAGGTAACAACATAAGTAACGCTTTCTGGTCTATTTTTTAAAGTAAATTCAAAGAAAAGAAAAAAGTAGGTAAATAGTTGGTAGTGATTTTTATAATTAATTATATTCTGGTAAGTATTGTTATAAATATTTGAATTAGTACTATTTCTAAATATTAAAATTATTTTCGTGTACAAAGAGTAGTAAGCGGTAAGAATACTACTTATTTATCTTTTCTTTTTTAGAAAATTAAAAGTAAATGAAAAAAAGAGAAAGATAAAATTGTTAATATCTGTCTAAAATACATATTTATAGTTAATTCGATCGGCAAATGACATCGAAGTAATCAATCAATTTCGAGGAGGTACGCCACTGGCCCAGCGGTACCATCGACCCCTCTCCATGGCACCCCACGGTCTGCGCGAGTGCGCCTCCACCCCATCTCTTCATTCTGACACTGATTATTCTTCAAAGCTATCCGCCGCCTTATTCTTGTTTGTTATGTTAGTGATGTTGAGGAACAGACTCCGTGACTTCCGGGTCCAGCACAATACTCCGGGTTAGCGCGACATTCAAATCAGCCACTGCATGGACTAGCAGTTCCCTCCGGACTCGCTGGAAATTGACAGCTCTTATATTTCGTGCATTCGACACTGACTGAAAGCATGTGACTTTCCGAGTTATACAGTATCTCATTACGATTACCGTACACCGTCATAATGTGAAGTGGTGCTGAAAAGGATGCTGAAAGGATGGTGGTTAATTCTTCACCACCAGTGGTGTTCGTTACTGTTATAATTTTGTGCGCTATGTGGTGAGTTACATTTTTCTTCAGTTTTTGTCGTTACTTTAACATTGTATAGTGTTATTTATTTATTTATTTTTATTATACCTAAAATACATAAAAATATGCTATTTATACTTTACAAAAATGTTTCTTTTCTTTATAAAGCAAAAATATCTTTAATTTTCTTAGATTTATATTGCACAGAGCGTAGCAAATGTTAAAAAATTTGAAATATAACGCAGTTATCACAGAATAAAGTTCATATCAGAACAATCCTCCTTGGTCCAAATAAGGGCACTATTCAATATACTAGAATTAGATTAGTTTATAACAACAAAATTATTTAAGAGGGTTTTTTTATAAACTTTTACACAGAAAAAGTTCTGCTATTCATACTTAGAGTTGATCATTATGAAATATGGAATTTATTATGAGATATTTAAACGAGTATTTAAATTTTTCAAAGATTCAAAAAATTGTGAATGGTACTAATTGTTTCAGATGTAATATAATGAACAAATGTTTCAAATTTTGAAAAATTTTTGACTTCAGTAACTTGAGGACACTACGTGGTTGTCATATAATTTATTATTGTTGTTGTAAAGATAATTTTTCTATTGTTCATTTAAAAATACACTCAATTTTATTATGTTTTAATATATTTTAAATATTATATGTAATTTCTATTAAAATGTTGACCTTATTCACAGTATAAAATTATTAAAAGTAAAATATTTCAATGAACTAAGGTTAAATATGTGTCAAAAATAAAGCGATTAAATATCACCAAAGACGAGATTGATTTTTTGAAATATTTAATCGATATACCCTTGCAAAACTATGTCAAAGATTAGTTTTATTAAACTACTATATTTTCGTTTAACAAAAAACTCATCCTGAATCACTAGTTCACGCTTTCATTACCAAAACAAAATGACATTTCTTTTTAATCACATTTGGCAGTTTAAATTTGTTTATCAACTTGCATAGTTGGAGGTATCATAATGATGCTTATTCTATTATTACTTACTTGTTTAAATATGTGTTGCGCCATTAAGGATAACAAATTCACAAAAAAATTTGACACACATCTTTCACCGCTTAATAAATAAACGCGATCTCATTTAATATTCTTCTTCTTGTTTACAAAATTTTATCAAACTCCATTGATATAAATTATAAGACCATTCCCAAGACTGTTCCCCATACAATATATAATTCGATAAGTTGCTACGTCAAAATTAAAACATTACTACAATTTTAATTTCATTATGACAAATTAATTCTAAAAAATGCATATGAACAACCAAAACTCCAAATAAATATTATACTTTAAAAAATTACAGTAACTGTTCAACAACGTTTCCTACTTGGCAAATGTTGGAAATTAAGATAACCATAATATGATGGGAATTTATTATACCTGCAACCGCAACTGTGAAATAACATGTCAGATGTATTTGTATGAATATCCTGAAAAAAAAATTAGATTGAAATTTGTTTGAATTTTGAGCACTCAAGAAACCTACGAATAACTATGAGCACGGGATTAAAACTCTAATAACGTTTTATTGTAACGTGTAATGGTAATAGTTTAAATAACTAGATGGATTTCACAAGGTCTAGCGACACTTAGAGTGTACGATAATTCAAGAAACATAAAAATATAAAAAAAAAATTGATGATTTTGGAACGAATACATTGAAGACAAATTTTTCGAGACAAAACGTCTGAATCTGGTTCGGGCTGAGACAGTACAGTATTGGGGTCATGTAGGCTTGCAAAATATAGTAAAATTTCCGGGGTCGTATTTAAAAAAATTAAGTTGTTGATAGTCCTGGAGAGACGAAACGGTACATTTAAAAATTGATTATGCCATTCGATAGAGAGCAAAAAGTTGCCATGAGAAAGTGTTATTTTTTCAATATCACCTCAAACAAGGCTGAAATTAAACAAAAACGGATTTCCAAAATTTCGGTTTTTTCAAATATATGGAATCATGTTAGCCTTGATTTTTTAGAGGCATAATGTTGGTCCCCTGATTACGCAACTTTGCCCCTATTTCGTATCTCTTACCGCATCCAAGATCCCTGTAGTGAGAAGCGAATTTGTAACAGTCTGTATTTATTAAAAATTTAAAAAGTATGCTGTTAATGCAGTTTTGTGAATTTTGAACATTTTTCTTCCCAATAAACAGAGAAACAGAGCAAAGACTAAAACTGGGACACAAATAAATAAATTCGGACAAAAACGAGACTGTTATTAGGTAATCAATGGCAACTACTAACGTACCTATACCAGAACTGAGATGCCGCTGAGTTAAGTGCAGTTTGTACAAGTATAATTTTGCCCCCAATGCACAACTAGTGCTATAATTTTAAATCATTGCTGTACAGAAGGCCCATTAAATTTGATCTAATACAACTTTTTTATAATTTTGATTTTTCTATTGGGGGGGTATAATTTATAATGGAAATAAAGTATCTACTTATACCGAGACCTATATAAGACCACTCTTAGGCTAATTATTGTTCATTTTTTAATTGAATATTGGTGTAGGGAAACTTGTTCATTTCTTGCAACTTAGTGAATTATAATGTTAGTTCTCTTTTATATATTTCCTTTTTTAAGTTAAATATGTGTATTCAATTTTGTTGCAGTAGTTTATCAAACCTATCTCAATAAAACGGAGAGTGACAGTTTTCACATTTGAAGTCGGAATATGCACAGTAAAGACTGCATCGTAATTTATTGTCATATGCCATTAGATCACTTTCATTATGGGAATGACTCGGCTGCTGAAATGACACACCTGTTCAAATTACGTCCTCAGTCATATTTTACCACATACCAAGTTCAAAACCAGTCACTTCATGTTTAATTAAATAAAGTGGAAAATAAAATTTTCATACTGTGATCAAATATCATACCAAATAAATTGTAGAAGAGATTTCTCCAATTCCTGTTCCCTATATAATTTTAATTAACAAATCTGTTAAATAAGATGCACATGCTAAAATTCACTGCAAGAGGCTGAAGAAATATAAAATAGAGAAGGGAAGAAACATTATAGGTATTAAGTTGGTATTATGTGAAACTGAATTGTTACAAATAAGTGGCAAGTCATTTACAGGGTGGCCAAATGAAAACGAAACAGAACCATTTTCAGGAACTGCGTCAAGATTGTAGAAAAACGCTCAGACCCGTCGATTTTAGATTAAAGGGGGCATTCTTTGCTGGTATTTTTGACTCCGCTACTTTCACCCCCAAGCAAGGGTAAGCATCACCCAAAAATATTTAAATGGCATTGGGGGTTGAGTAATATTTCTTTTGAAAGCTCTTTCAATTCTCTTTACAACAGACTTTAAATTTTATAATTCCGCCCAATACTTTGAAAAAAATTTACATTTTAAAATTTAAATTATGTTTAGTTGCTTACTTACTACTTAGTTGATTAAATGTTCAAACTGATGACCGCCCGCTTCCATACAAGAATAAAGATTTTGTTCGAAACGTTCGCGTACATTCCGAAG